GAGAGGAAAAAAGCACCGAGGAAAATCTGGGAATCCAGATGTCTCAGCATCAGTCCAAGCCGTGTCCTTCCTGGCTTGTAACAGGGAGCTTTGGAGTGAAGGAAAGCCCTGACCCCCAGCCAGCCATTGTACCTGCTCTCACCCTCTTCTCCAAGAGGTGAAGTCTGGAGCAGCCGCTGGATTTCATTTTAAATCTTTGGGTTTGGGCTATTAATAAGCCTGGAAAATAACCACATGTTCTCTGAATTATGCAACAGATGTTAAATTCCCCAGGAGGAAGAGGTGTCAGCCTGATGGAAGAAGTGATGTGAGGACCTTTCTTTTCCCCTTTGGGCTGCGTTTCTCTTCTTATTAACAAAATTGATCATCTGCTGAGGGAGAGACAGAGATAACTCCGATCCCCCCACCAGCTCTGACCCAACCCCGCCGTCCCCCTTCGCTTTGAGCTCGTGTTTGTGCCCTTCTTGCCTCTCTCCAGCAGCAGATTTGGAAGACAAGTGTCATCCAGATCGAAGTCCCATTGAAAGAATGTGTTGTGATGAGGAGCTGCTGAGTGAGTCACTGCCCGTGCTGGCACCGAGCGCTGGGGACGGGCCAGATCCTGACGCTTGGCAGGAAGAGCGGGAGGCAAAGGAGGAAAGGAAACTCAGGGCCAGGAGCTCTGCAGAGCTCACCCAGCCAAGGGGGCTGGGCTGGGCTGCAAGTGCAATCCCAGTTAACCATTTCAGTGCCACTGCACCCAGGGAAGGGCTGGAGCTGTGTCAGGGCAGGCTCAGGTTGGATCTCAGCCAAAGGTTCTTCCCCCAGAGGCTGGTTGGGCACTGCCCAGGCTCCCCAGGGCAGTGGGCACAGCCCCAAGGCTGCCAGAGCTCAGGGAGGGTTTGGCTGATCCTCTGGGGCACAGGGGGTGACTCTTGGGGCTGGGCCTGTGCAGGGCTGAGGGTTGGACTCCAGGACCCTTGGGGGTCCCTCCCAGCTCAGCACATCCCATGATTCAGTGTTCCCAGCCTCACTGGGGCAGTGTGAGATGGGCTGGAGGGGAGGACAGAGGAGGTGTCTTAGGCAGGAGGTTAAAAAGGGTTTCCTTCTGTCTTCTTTTTGATGATTTATTTTTTTTAAGGTTGTTGTTCCTGATCTTCCTCTGTCCCAGAGTGAGCACTCCTGGCTCCACATGGGGAAAGGTCCTGAGCAGCTCAGGATGGTTTTAACCAGGATGACTCTTCCTTGGATCCCTGTCTTAGTCCCTTGCATGAAGATTGAGGGCACACCTTGAGTATGAGGATTGGAGGCTGCACCTCAGGTCCCAGTTCTGGGACCTTCATGACAAGAGAGACGTGGAGGGGCTGGAGCATGTGCAAGGAAGGGAACGGAGCTGGGAAGGGGCTGGAGCAGCAGGAGCAGCTGAGGGAGCTGGGGGGGCTCAGCCTGGAGAAAAGGAGGCTCAGGGGGGACCTTCTGGCTCTGCAACTCCCTGACAGGAGGGGGGAGCCAGGGGGGGTCGGGCTCTGCTCCCAGGGAACAAGGGACAGGAGGAGAGGGAACGGCCTCCAGCTGTGCCAGGGGAGGGTCAGGTTGGATATTGGGGAAAATTTCTTCCTGGAAAGGGGTGGTCAGGCACTGTCACAGCTTCTCAGGGTGGTGGTGGAGTCCCCATCCCTGGAGGTGGCACTCAGTGCTCTGGGCTGGGGGCAAGGTGGGGATGGGGCACAGGTTGGACTCGATGGGTGGGAGGGCTTTTCCATCTCGATAATTCCAGGATTCTGAGCTGGAGGGAGGCTGTCACCAGCTGTGTGGAACACAGCCGAGCAGCCCCTTGGGAGAGACGTTCATGAACATGGATTGAAGCCCCAGGGCCCAGGGGGACCACATTCCTGAGGCAGACTGACAGCTGAGCCTCTGCTCTGCCCGAGGTGTCCGTGCTCCTGCCGGTGACCCCTGGCTGCTCTCCTGAGGGGTGACTCTGCTCACAGGGTTGGTTCTGAGCTCTGCTGCACCATCTCCCGTTCCACACCCGCTGGCACCACGGCTGTGAGCCCTTCTTCCACCACAAGGGGCCCTTTCCTCCTGGGAATGCTGCTGGGAAAACATGGCTCAAGGCAGAACGAGCTGATGGGGGGAAAGTCCTCCTGGTGTTCCACCACCAACAACATTAATGTGACTGTAGGGAAGGGCCCTCCTGGATTCTTCCTTCTTTTTTCACATCCTGTAGTAGGAAGAGGAAGGAATTGAAGTGAGTTCTTGCTAAATGTGAAATCCAGCAGGACTTGGAATGTACTGGGAATCTTCTAAGTGCTGATATCTAATCTGGACACCTGTGACAAGTCTGGGTCCCCCATGCAAAGAATTGATTCTTGGCCACTTTAAGGTAATAAAAAAGAAACGTGGAGTCTGGTGGACCAGATTTTGAGTGTTTTCCCCATTTCTCAACAGTTCCCCTTTCTTTGTCCTTCAGGAGCAGTTGACAGCCTTGTACTCTGTGTTATTCACCGCTCACCACTGATTAATGGGCCCCTAATGCCATTACTTGTTTCATTATCCAATCTGGGAGATCAGTCATTATCTAGGAATAAAAAAAGGCCGTTTTTCACTGGCATTAAGTGGTTGGCTGGAGGGGTGAAGTGCAAGGTTCGCTTTTCAGAACAGGAGCAAGCCACTATTAGGGAGAAAAACTGCAGTGAAAGTCATCTGTGAGTTTGTATTGCCCAAGGAGTGGAGCTCAGCTATGGAGGAGGTGTTGCCAAACACAGAGATAAGGAAGAGAGTCCAAAAAAAATTAGGACTGTATCAAGAAGGTGCTCTCAGAGGGTTGAGAATAACAATAATAATTGGAATTAATAATAATAATACACCTTGGAGGTCAGAGCTCGGGCTGTGGGTGCTGTGCAATTACAGACAAAACAGCAAATAAATTGTTGCTTCGAGTTCTCCTCCTCTGTTGGGAGGAGAGGAGCCAGACGGCGGGTGACAGATGGCAGGGGCGGGGGGTGCCGGCAGCTGGCACGGCGAGGGCACGGCTGGGGCACCGGCAGGACCGCGGCTGGCACGGGGCTGGCACAGGAAGGATGACAAGGGGCATATGTGCATCACCTGGGGGCACCAGGGCCAGCACAGGGCAAGGGGGAAAGGGCCTGTTCAGAGTGTAAGGAGAGGCTGAGAGGGTTTGTTTGATGTTGCAGGGTGACTGAAGGCATAAAATCATGGAATGTGCTGAGCTGGGAGGGACCCCCAAGGATCCTGGAGTCCAACCCTCAGCCCTGCACAGGCCCAGCCCCAAGAGTCACCCCCTGTGCCCCAGAGGATCAGCCAAACCCTCCCTGAGCTCTGGCAGCCTTGGTGCTGTGCCCACTGCCCTGGGGAGCCTGGGCAGTGCCCAACCAGCCTCTGGGGGAAGAACCTTTGGCTGAGATCCAACCTGAGCCTGCCCTGACACAGCTCCAGCCATTCCCTGGCTGCTGTCCCTGGTCCCAAAAGGAATCAGGATGGTGGGTCAAACAGTCCAAGCCATGAAGGGTCCTGGCATGGGCACAGTGGCTTGTCCTGGATGCAGAAAAGAAGGAGAGGTGTGTCCCTGGTGGTGGGGAAGGAGTGCAGCCCGTGCTGGTGATGGACAGGAGCTCAGGGACATGGCACACAAGGTGTGGGTCAGACTCAGAGCTCTTGTGTGTCATGGCTGGAGAAGAGACACCTCCCTGGGGCCTTGGAGGCTGGGGGTACCTGTGGTGGGTGCCCTGCAGAGGGACCTGTGTGGCCCTGGCTCATTGTGCTGTGCCAGGTGGTGGCATCACATCCCTGGAGCACGGGAGCACTGGCTGGACCAGCTCCCTCCCAGGGCAGTGGGCACAGCCCCAAGGCTGCCAGAGCTCAGGGAGGGTTTGGCTGATCCTCTGGGGCACAGGGGGTGACTCTTGGGGCTGGGCCTGTGCAGGGCTCAGGGTTGGACTGTATGGTCCCTCCCAGCTCAGCACATCCCATGATTCAGTGTTCCCAGCCTCACTGGGGCAGCGTGAGATGGGCTGGAGGGGAGGACAGAGGAGGTGTCTTAGGCAGGAGGTTAAAAAGGGTTTCCTTCTGTCTTCTTTTTGATGATTTTTTTTTTTTGAGGTTGTTGTTCCTGATCTTCCTCTGTCCCAGAGTGAGCACTCCTGGCTCCACATGGGGAAAGGTCCTGAGCAGCTCAGGACGGTTTTAACCAGGATGGCTCTTCTTTGGATCCCTGTTTTGCTGCCTTGCACAAAGATTGAGGGCACACCTTGAGTATGAGGCTGCACCTCAGGTCCTGTGTCCAGTTCTGGGCCCCTCATGACAAGAAAGTCATTGAGGGGCTGGAGAGTGTCCAGGGAAGGGAACAGAGCTGGGAAGGGACTGGAGCACCAGGAGCAGCTGATGGAGCACTTGGCTGATCCTCTGGGGCACAGGGGGTGACTCTTGGGGCTGGGCCTGTGCAGGGCTGAGGGTTGGACTCCAGGATCCTTGGTTGTCCCTCCCAGCTCAGTAGATCCTGTGACCCAGATATCCCATGGGAGGGAGGTGGGCACACGCTGGGCAGGGGCTCTGTGCTGCCGTGCTCCAGGCTGGCACCGGTGGCACTGGGCTCACGGCATCACACGTGGATGTTTGGAGGTGCATTGCCAGCATCTTCCCAGCGCTCCTGAGCCAATCCCTGTGGATGCTGCAGGTCTGGGCTGCAGCTGGAGCCAGCCCTGGCTGCTCCACTTCATCTGTGCCAACCCTGCCCTGCAAAACACCCGAGCCAATCGCCCTTGCCCCCTGGCAGGAGCAGAGCTGTGTCCCAGAACGCAGCATTCCCATGGCATTTCCACATTCTCTGCAAAGCCAGCTTTTATTTCGAACTGAACATCTGTTCCAGATGTGGCTACGCTGCCATTGTTGTCCTGCTCCTCACTGAAAGGCTGCCATGAATTATTGAGAGATGGGCTCTAAATAAATGATAAAGCGGGACCGTGCCTGCGCTGAAGTTTTTTTCTGTCCACCCCTTCCAGAGTCACACTCCGGGCTTTGATGTCCCCATGATGAGCTCACCCAGCGCCCAGAACCTGCCAGCTCACCCTCCTGATGGGGCTGATCGAGGAGCGAGGAGAGGGGCAGCCCAAGCATGAAGGTGGCCGAGGGGACGAGTCTCCCGGGGAGAAGGAGAAGGAGGAGTCGCAGCAGAGGATGAGACAACCCGAGTTTCCCTCCTGGCAAGTGCTTTTCTCCTCTCAAATCCCCCCTCCCTGGCGGGGGTTGCCTGCACAGGGCTGGGAGGGGGGGTGCCAGCTCCCAGGGCTGGGTGGTGGGGATGGTGGTGGGGCTGGGAATGTGCTGGGGATCTCACAGCCAAAAGGATTTGGAGCTAAAATCCCGGAGCAAAACCTCACAGGGAGTGAACACAGACATCCCCACCCCATCCACGGGCACATGATACGAGGGCAAGGGCACTCTGGGGCTGAGGGTCCAAACCACCCTAAACCACTGTGGGTCCAAAGCAGCCCCTCCTTTTTTTGCTGGCTCTCCTCTGGGAAGTCCGAGTGGAATTTTGGAAGCCTGGTAGCCTTGGAAATTGATTTTATTTAAATTATTGTTTCTTTTTTTTCTTCACCATTTTGAAAAATGGCTTGACTCACAGTTGCATGAGGCTGTGGGGACTCGCAGCAGACCATCTGTTTCAGCTGTTAGCAGTCATTAATTTTTTCATATTTTTTGCTACTTTGGAGACACTTTGGGAGAAAAAAACCCCATGTTCTCGATGGCATTGGAGGACTTCAAAGTCACTAACGTTTTTTTTTCTCAGAGAGACAATATACAGGGAATGCATTTGTTATAAAAGAGTTCCATTTTTATTGGGCTTTCTAGATGGGGAATTTGTCTCCTGTGGACATGCAGGAGGACAGAGTGTTTATCTGCTTTTCTCCATGAACTTGGCTAAACCTGCACTGCAATGCATGTTCTGAGGAGTATTTTTCTGGGTTAAATCTAAGGCAGAAAGGCTTTTATTTAAACAAAAAAAAACAATACAGGGAGATTTTCTTTTAAGCCACTCCGTTTCTGGAACTAAGCACTTCCTGATTAAATCAGCCGTATTGTCTCCAGTTATTCTACCCAGAAACTGGAAAATTACTCAACTCCTTTGACAGGTGCTCCCAGCTGATGGCTCAGGTTTGTGGATCGAGTGCTGGGGCATCTGGCACGATAAATAACAGGACAAACTCCTCTTCTGACGCCGCCCACCCTCCAGCCTGGGCACGTTTGCCCTCGTGCCCGTCGGTCCCTGAGCCAGCTCCTCTCGAGGTGCTGCCTCTGAGCCACTGCTGGAGGGTTAGTTCAGCTCAGCAAAGCCCTGGAGGGCTGTTCCCACCAGGGCTTGGTGTGATGGGAGCCCACCAGGGCTGGACCTGCTTCCCCAGGGCTCGAGGGGCCCCGTCCCGCCGGGTCTGTCCCAGGGGTTCCCTCCTGCTTTCCCTGAGCTTCACGGGAGGTTTGAGGTGCAGCAAAACAACCTCCTTGATTTTAGCAGGGAGTGACAGGACAAGGAGAATGGTTTTAAACTGCCCACAGAGCAGGGTTAGGTGGGATATCAGGAAGGAATTCTTCCTGGGGAGGGTGGTGAGGCCCTGGCACAATTTGCCAGTGTGGCAGCTCGAACATCCCCCAGACTGCAGGTTCTTGGGACCTCGTCCCACCCGAGGAGAGATGGAAGAAGGACGTTCATCCCTCAGCCCAAGCAGCTTCACTCATTTCTACCCTGGGTTTGCCATCCTGAGAGAACTGCTGCTCCCAAAAACGGGATCACAGAACGGTTTGGGGGGGAAGGGACCTCAGAGATCAACCAGCCCAACTGGTGATTCAGCCATTCCCACAGGGAATGGCCTCCCACTGCCAGAGGGCAGGGTTAGATGGGATATTGGGAAGGAATTGTTCCCTGGGAGGGTGGGGAGGCCCTGGCACAGGTTGCCCAGAGAAGCTGTGGCTGCCCCATCCCTGGAAGTGTCCAAGGCCAGGTTGGAGCAACCTGGGCTAGTGGGAGGTGTCCCTGTGGCAGGGAGTGGGATGAGATGAGTTTTAACCCTTCCAACCCAAAGCATTCCATGATTCTGTGGATTATAAATCATGACACAAGATTTAAGGGGTGTTGGGAAATGGAAGAAGGTGCAATATCTTGCATGGAATTAAGTGGTGGGAGATGGTGGCAGCTCCTCCAGAGGATGCTGAGGCCTTTGTCCAGCCATGAAGCCCTGGGCTGGTACCGGGCAGAGCAGAGAGCTCTGCACTGGGCTCATGGTTGTGCTGGTTTGGGTTGTGCAGCCCTGAAAGGATGTAAAACATGACCCAGGAACCTCCCAACCTGCTCTTGAGGCTGATGATGGCGGGAGGAGGCAGCAGGATGGAAACAGAGTGGCTTGACCTGCCTGTGACACCTGGGAAGTGACAGCCAGAGAGCTGTGGAGCATTTCCAACCATCCATTAGGGCTGAGGCTTTCAGCAAAATTACAAATGTGTCCTGGAAAAGGCTCCTTGGAGCTGGCCAAGGAGCTGATCCTGGGGTTGGGAGTGGGAGCTGCTTCTTGGCAGCTGCTCCGGGGCTGCACCCAGTTTGTGCCAGTGCAGAGTGAACTGGCACCAAGGGACGTGTGGGGTGGTGGGTCCTCCTGTCCCAGTGGTAAACCCCAAATATCCCTGTAGGGCAAAGCAGAGTCCATAGGACATGCCCTGAGAGCTCAACATCAGCTCTGTGTGATCCCACATGAGTTTCCAAGTATGGATTGGATCCACCTCTTGTCCTTTTCCAGGACATGTCCCATCCCTGCTCTCCTTGGAGCTGGCCAAGGGACACAGGTGGGTCCTCCTGTCCCTCTGCCTGTGGCACAGGATGGTAAACCCTAGATATCTCTGTAGGGCAAAGCAAAGAGTCCATAGGACGTGCCCTGAGAGCTCAACATCAGCTCTGTGTGATCCCATATGAGTTTCCAGGTATGGGTTAGATCCACCTCTTGTCCTTTTCCAGGACATGTCCCATTCCTGTTCTCCTTGGAGCTAGCCAAGGAGCCATTCCCATGGCTGGGAGTGGGAGCTGCTTCTTGGCAGCTGCTGTGGGGCTGCACCCAGTTTGTGTCAGTGCAGAGTGAACTGGCACCGAGAGATGTGTGGGGTGGTGGGTCCTCCTGTCCCAGTGGTAAACCCCAGATATCCCTGTAGGGTAAAGCAGAGTCCATAGGACGTGTCCTGAGAGCTCAACATCAGCTCTGTGTGATCCCAAGTGCATTTCCAGGTATGGGCTGGATCCCCCTCTTGCCGTGTCCCACCCCTGTGTCTCCTGCTCTCATTTTGTGCCCCGGGTGAAGGGGCACAGCCAGTGCCCAGTGGTGCTGCCAGCAGAAGGTGGGAGGATGAAAGAATTCACATCTGGACGCTCAGAGATGTTTGGGGACTGCGTGGTTTTCATTTGAGGCCTTTCTGTTGTCGATTGAGTTAATTAGAATTAAAAAGAAGAGGAAAAAAAAGGAAAGAGAAGCAGGCAGGATGGCAGGACTGGGCTTTGGTTTGGCTTTTTTTTTTTTTTAATCAGAGGCCTGGCTTAGAGTGCTACAGAGCCAATTTTCATTTTGAAATTTCCTCTCATTTTCATTTTAAGGCTCCTCCAAAAGAATTTCGAGCTGCAAACTGGAAGGAGGAGGTGTTAGACTTCGTAAAGCAACCCTCCAAATCTGTGAATTGACTCGAAAAACACCTTCTGTTTTGTCCATTTTCTGAAAAGTCAATTTTCTGGACAGGCTTTCTGGGGCTTGGATTGAGGTTTGTAGGTTTGATGAAGAGGGAGGAAGGTGATTAGAGGTCCTGGGGGGTGCCTTATGTTCTTCATGCCCTGCTATATGTTGGCTTTTTGCTCAGGTGGCCCCTGAGACACCCCACTCACAGCACAGGGCACAGCCCGAAAACCCCCGCCCAGATCCCGAGTCAGAGGGAATAGTAGGAAAAAGAAAGAAATAGTAGGAGAAGAAAGAAATAGTAGGAAAAAAAAAAAGAAAGAAATAGTAGGGGAAGAAAGAAAATACCAGGAAATTTGCCCATTAACACCCCAGACACAAAAGTCTCAATGGAGCTTTTTCCCCCCTGAACCAGCTCGAACGTCTCTGCCTGATGGGAAGTCTAAAAATAAGCCCTGTTCTCCACAAACAGCTTAAAGATGTTGAAAATGAAAAGCAACAAAGGCTGGAGAACGTATGAGTCATTAAATTACAGGGCTATCTTTCGAAGAGCAAAACAAAACACACACCAAAAAAAGCCCCTCCTTCCCCCCCACCCCAAGCCCTCGCTGCTGCAATTTGTCGGGAGTTCTCTTGGCTTTGCTTTGGGGCTCCCTGCCCATGCAGACACTTCGGCTGCTTTTTGTGGGCTCAAAGGGCTGAAACCTTCTCCATTTTCATGGCCTGACGTGCCAGAGCTGCTCTGGAGGAATAAAAAGAGGAAAAGCAGGCTGCTTATGAGCAGGAGGGGCTTTTCTCCTGCACACGGGCGTTTCTGTTGAGGTTTTTTGGGGAATGAACCTCCCTGGATGGGGAGCCTTCTGGCAGGGAAGGGTGTCAGCTCACATTCCCCTTGACAGCATATCCTCTGGCCCCAGAGAAGCCACAAGTGTTTGGTCTCCCAGCTGGGAGCAAGCAGGTTTTTTTGGGTGTGATCACATTTGTCTACAGCTTGAGTTTCGTTGAGATAATGCAATTAAATGGAGTTCTGGGTTGGTTGAAGGGGTTTTTTTTTCCCCTTCCTGAAGGTCTCATTTCAATGAGCTCCACTAGGGTGGACTCTGTTGCAAAGCTGAAGCTTTTTTAGCATTTGCAGATGAGCTCAAATCAAACTCTTGGCGTTTGGGGATGGACTGGAGCCAAACCTGTGCCTACATCTGATGTTTGCAGCCAGCCCCAATCTCCCTAATAGGCTGAGCTGAAACCTTGGAGCCAAGCAGATGGTGGGGCTGGAGATGCAAATCTGCCAGTGCTGCTGCAGCCTAGACCTGCTGTTGGGGTGTGTGATACCCTCCCTGGGGTCTGGAGGATCCAGGAATGGGTTGGGTTGGAAGGGACCTTAAAGCTCATCCAGTCCCACCCCCTGCCATGGGCAGGGACACCTTCCACTAGCCCAGGTTGCTCCAACCTGGCCTTGGACACTTCCAGGGATCCAGGGGCAGCCACAGCTTCTCTGGGCA